GAATTTTCTTTAATTTCAGAGCACGTCATTCCATTGACTATTATTTCTTTATTTCATTTGGGCGTTTTTTTGTTTTTTGTTTTCTAAGATTTTTATTCCAGTTTCATATTGTCTAGGACATATATTTTGCTCAGTAGTAGTTGTGAGGAGATGAAAAATATTATTGGAAAGTGGAAACTCTGCCGGAAAGCCATTATTTGAACATTTTGTATATATTTCTGTCATTCTTTTTTCAGGGAATTGGCAGGGAATTGGAAAGGAAATGGAAGAAAGAAAAGGGATAAAGAAATTACCATCCGTTTATTATAATATACCCTATTGGAAATTCTAAGATCAAAAYAGTGGTAATATATTAATCTACCATCTTCACTTAAGTATTTTAAATACTTATAAGCACTTTAAAACAGCTGTTAAGCGTGCAATTTGTTGGGGAAAGCCAAATGAGTTCCTTCGTGGGAAGCCAAGCAAATACATTCGTGAGAAACCTAATATATGTCGACGGGAAACCAATTACCTGCATGTTGGAAAGCCAAAAAAGTGCACTTCAGGGGAAAGTCAAGTTAGTGCACGACCAGAAAACCCACAAAGTGCATGTATAAAAAACCCAAAACTGTGCAAGATGTCACTCAGGGKGAAGTCAAGTTAGTGAGCAACCTCGATGAGCTTTTGTTAAATTCTTGGGCCAAATTTGAGAACATGTGTGTGAATGAAAAAATGTAGTCCACGTTTTGAAAGCCCACAAAGTGCAAATCCAAGACTCACTAAACCCATTCAATGCTAAACTAAAAATGCCTCTTTAAATATTTTTAAAAAAAATTTATTTAATAGTTGGTATATACAGCGTCATTAACTTTTCCTGTTTTGCCCCACTTGAAAATCCCAAAAGCCACTTAAGTGCAGTCACTGTTAGTACAAAAAGCCATTAGAGTGTAGGTATTAAACCCGTGAAATAGATATTAGACTAATTCTATTCTAATTTTTAAAATATACAGTGGGGATTTTCGATACAAAAAGCCAATTCAATGTCGAATCTCGTGTCAGGAAGCCATTTGTATGCCGCATGCAGTTTTGAAGCCAATGATGTTGATTTTCCAGGTTCTAAGCCAATGAAATGGTAGTTACGCTAGTATGGTTTCAGATGTTGTGGTTTAGAGTTTCCATACACATAAGACATCCTTTTCAGTGTCGAGTTCTCTCTACCGGAAGCCATTTGTATGTCAAATATATATTAGTCCATGTAGAWTATCATACTTATATCTGTGGTCTYTAAGKCCCATAACTTAAAATAACTCCGTCCCACCTGCAGCTAAAATAACGTAAGGAACTTTTGGTCAAGAAAGCCTCTTCRGTGCCAAGTCTTGTGACCTAAAGCCATTTGTATGTCAAATACWTATCATTYCATATGGAATATACTCATATCTGTGGCCTTTAAGTTCCCTAACTTTTATTTTATGACCCTGCATGTTCAATAACTTTAGGCCAAGAAAGCCATTTCAATGTCGAGTCTTACGACCAGAAACCATTTGTATGTCAAATACACATTATTTCATGTGGATTGGCGGCAGTCATACTCATATCTCTGGTCTGTACGTCTAGTCCCATAACTTTATAACCCCRTCCCATCCGCACGTGATGACCTTGGATGTTTCGTGTGGGTGCCACTCGCAGTCGATACAAACACCGTCGTGTGCCTTGAACTTGCTGAAAAATTAAATCACAGGAAAAATAATATTGACCAAACGTTTCTTAACATCCTGTTACAAGTTTTCACTAGAATTCCTTCTGGTTGACATCACATGGTGGTCAGTGTTTGACAACCATTTGGACCAGATAATGAAAGACTTTTATCAGCAGATTGAAAYCCAGTAATTGTCTCAAAATGTTGATCTTACCAATATAATTTGGTGGATTTCCAGTCCCAAATATTGAGTTTTCCATCAGCATCACCAGAAATTACGTAACTAAAAAACAACAAAGATAGGTTTTTTACAAGAAAGAAAGAAAAAAAAGACTACAACTCCCAGGAGTCAACAGGACGTCTACTTACGCTCCGTCGGGAGAAAARCTAGGCTTGCAGGCATATCCAGCCACCTGGGGGGGAAATAAACAATAGGATTTTTTTTTTGAATATGGTGATGTTTCGTCAGGATGGTGAAAAGGGCAAGTTGGACTTTATTTATATGTTCATGTTATGCCAGAATCATTACCAAATGTTATCATTATTATTATTTATCATCTATCATACCACTGCCATCGCCATCATCATCATCATCATGTATCAATATCCATCTATCATCACTGTCTATCATCAACACAACCATCTATTATCATCATCATCAATGATCATCGACTATCAAACCAACATCTATCATCATCATCTATCATTTTCATCAATATCCTAATCATCATTTATTATATCATCACCACCGTCATCACGCATCTAACCATCATCTTTCATCATCTGTATATTTCATCTAGTGTTCTTTACCATGTGACCTTTGAATATTTTCTTTCTGTTCAGCCGAAAGCGATTTTGAACTCCAAAAATAAGTATTTGATTATCCATGGACTGACACGCCAACCACTTTTCTGTGTACAAAAACAGATAAAATCAAAACTTGGTGGCTCATAAAAAACATAGAAAGCCAAAACGGGGAGGGACAGACTGTTTTCTTATTCTTACCATTGGGGTGCAGTGCAACAGCAGGCATGGAGTGCATGGAAGGCTCTGCGATGTACTTGAAGTCGACAGGAACATCCCTTTGAATGTGAATAGATGATGTGTAAGTTTGAACCAGGAGCAACTGGGAGGAGGGTAGATGGATGAATGGGGTACATGGAAGGATGAATTAGTGGGATGGATGAGATGGAAGGATGGATTAGTGGGATGGATGAGATRGAAGGATTAATTATTAGGATGGATGAGATGGAAGGATGGATTAGTGGGATGGAAGGATGGATAAGATGGAAGGATGGATGAGATGGAAGGATGGATAAGTGGGATGGAAGGATGGATTGGTGGGTAGTATGGAATAGTATGGATGGATGAGATGGGTTAGATTAAGTAAAAGATGCATGAATGAAAGAATTACGTTGGATGAATGAAATGTTATAAATAAACGAACACAATGAAAAAGTAAACAGTTTCTTCCCTCTACTCACCATTCCCATACTCTAATACTTTTATCATCTGACGTAGAAACAAATCGACGATTTTGATCCACAAAGGTAATCGAATTAACAGCCCCAAGATGTCTGGAAAAATGTAACAAGTCAAAGTGTAAGATACTGTGACAACTGAAATGGATAAAAACCATTGTTGACATTGTTCTATTCAAATAAATATATTCCTACCTGTCGTACTCTTGAACTATTTCATTAGCTCTGATATCCCACTAGTAATATCAATGAAAGATATAAGCATAATGTAAGAAAAATGAAGAAATCCTTCAATTGTGCCCACATTAATGTATCTACTTAAGAAATGACTGATAAAATGATACTRAAGAATGGGAGAGGTTTTTGCACCATCACGTAACAGCAGACATGTTAGATGGCAGGAACAATACAATYGTTTTACATGAGAAAGAATTCAATTCCCGAGAGCAAAGARAYTWTATCGCTCTGCCATCTAACCACAGGCAGCCCAAGCTGGATTATGGGCGTGGGCATGTGATGGTGCAAAACCTCTGAAAACCTTTAAGGGAATCATGTAGGGTGGTGGTTGTAGTGACTTGGTATTACATGTGAGTGGGGTTTGCTGGATCTCTCTTTCAATTCAAAAGTATCTCCTCTGTTTTCCCTCCCAGAAAAGGAATCCACATGCTAAATTCCAATTTCATCTGTGAGTTATGTAGCCATGCCCTGAGTTAGATCAGCTCAGAGGTTGTTTCAGGGTTCAATCAGTGAGTTAGCCATGCCCTAGATTAGATCAGCCCAGAGGTTGTTTCAG